GAATCAGACCAGCTAAAATTTCTACACTAGAGACTACACCAGCGCCTACACCAACGTCATCATCAGGCTCAAGCGTAGATGACATTTATTGTTTATTCTGAGTAAATTCTTCTTAGATTCAGATGTTCATTTAATCCTATATGCTTTGATGCTCATCCTATATGATTCGATGCTCATCTCGCTAGAGAATGTTAGGTTGTTCATCTTGCATGCTTTGATGCTCATCCTGTATGCTGATGTTGATTTTGTTTGATATTCATTTCTGGATTGATGTTCACTGCCTATCACTAAATGTTCATTTGCTATTTTTGGCTGCGGTCATCATCCTGCGATACTCATTTGCTATGAGATATTGTTCATCACATGATGTTCATCCTGTGAGGCTCAGTTATTATTCATCCATGATGTGATTGTTCATTCCTATGTATTATTGTTCATCGAATAATGTTCATCCTCTGAGATTTAGTTGTTCATTTAAAGGTTATGGTACTGTTTATGTGGTTGCTCATCCTGTATGCTTCGATGCTCATCCTGTATGCTTCAATGCTTATCTTGACAGAGAAATGTTAGGTTGTTCATCCTACATGCTTTGATGCTCATCCTGTATGCTGATGTTGATTTTGTTTGATTTTCATTTCTGGATTGATGTTCACTGCCTATCACTAAATGTTCATTGTGAAAACTGTTGATGTTTATCCGCTATTTTTGGCTGTGGTAATCGTCCTTTGTTGCTCATTTGCTATGTGTTATTATTCATCGCATGATGTTCATCGTGTGAGGCTCAGTTGTTCATTTTATAGATGAGAATGTTGTTATTCATCTTATATTACTGTGGATGTTGTCATGCAACAGAGACCACGATATAAGAGTATGAGGAGAAGCAATAAAGACAAGAGCCTCCCTTCCACACAACCCATTGAAGGGCACAATAGTTCACTGTCTCAACAAGAGAATGCTGAATACAGAAATAGTACATAAAAGAAGGCCAAATCAGCTACATCTGCCGCCAAAGAGAGAAAAGGGAAGAGGAAAGATGGCGGTGATGATCTTGCAGGACAAAAAGAAGCAAAGAAGAAACATCAGAGTCACTGCTGGACTTCAATTTTTGACTTATCATCCCAAGAGTTTGTAGTAGCAATGTGAATCCTGCTGAAATGTATTTATCACTTTGAAAGTGTAAAATACATTGAACTTTTCTGTTGTTCACTGCACCAACTTAAATGTGCATCCTGTTATACTGCAATGTTCATCTTGAGTTATGGTCCTTACTTGTCAAATGTCCTGTATGATCATCCTGTTAAACTACAATGTTTATGCTATTAAATACAATGATCATCTTCAACAATCATCATCAACAAATAAGTTCATCGTTTGCTGGCGCAAACTAGTCCCTAACCTATAATTGAAATGCTTAAACACTCCCTAAATCCTAAACCGAGTCGGAGACGAATTTTGTATTAATTTTGTTTAGAATTTGGTTGAAATATTTTTAAACCGTTTATGAGACCCTAGCCTAATTGGTTTAAAAAAATTTACACATTAATCATTTTCCAGCGCAAACTAGTCACTAATTTATAATTGAAATACTTAAACCCCCCTAAACCCTAAATCCTAAACACGCTTATATATTTTTTTTTTTATTTTTTTAAAATTTTTGGTTTAAAATATTTTAAACCAATTAGGCTAGGTTCTCGTAAACGAGACTCTACCCTAATTGGTTTTAAAAATTTTTATAAATTAATCGCGGTATGTCAGAAACTAGGCCCTAACCGAGTCGAAAATGCTTAAACCCCCCAAAACCCTAAACAAATAGGCCCTAACTGAGTCGGAAATGCCTAAACCCCTAAACCCTAAACCCTAAACACACCAATAGTGTTTTTAAAAAATTTTTGGCTTAATTTTTTTTAAACCAATTAAGCTAGGGTCTCGTCTAATTTGTTTTAAAAAATTTATGAATTAATCTTGGTACGACACAAACTAGGCCCTAACCAAGTCAGAAATGCTTAAACCCCCTAAAACCCTACACATTTAGGTCCTAACTGAGTCGAAAATGCTTAAACCCTCCTAAAGTCTAAACCCTAAACAGTTAGGCCATAACCGAGTTGAAAATGCTTAAACCCCCTAAGCCTAATTTGTTAGAGGTGAAATATGCCAAGTTCATTTCAGAAACTACGATGTTTATTTTGTGCTGGACAGTGCTCATCCTCTAATATTATGATGTGAATATTGGCTTGCAGCTTTTGTTGGTCATAAGAATTTTTTTTTTTAAGTTAGCCTAATTGGTTTAAAAATTATAATTCATAAGTCAACAGATAGAAAACAAAATCGTAAAACATCTTGAATTTAATTCAAAAAACACATCAAAATTTTGCACGATTTTGGTATATAATATAAAATTCATTAAATATTTTCTGTTGTTCACTGAACAAGCTACAATATGCGTCCTGTAAAACTAGAATGTTCATATACATTCAAACATCCTTCTATGTGAAAAAAATCCTGTATAACTACAATATTGCTCATCTCCAGCAACTATTGTTCATTTCCATGCAGTCAGTGCTCGTCCTGAGAAACTTTCAAGGTGCATCTTATGTTTGTAGTTCACTAAAAAAAAGCTAAGTTCATTTCACAAACTGTGATGTTCATTTTGTGCTAGACAGTACTCATCCTGTAACACTATGATGTTCATGTTGGCCTGTAGTTTTTGTTAGTCAGAGGAAAAAAAAAGCAACAAATTGATATAGGAACAAAATAACAGAGCTATTGTGGAGGTTGATTTTCAAATAAAACATCATCAAAATCGCTAGAAATATGAAGCTAAAAAGTATGATTTAGAAGTGAAAATGAAGAAAAATGAATCAAGTACCTTCGCTATAATTTTTAGTGCAATCACACAATTTAAACAAAGATGAACGATGAAGAGAAGAAACTAAAGAGTAAAACAATACCTTCTCATGTCATATGTAGCCATGGAAATTGAATTACAGTTAAAATTGTAAGAGAATCTTCACCGGATCTACTGAATATTTTTTAGCCGGATTCACTTAGAAACTATGGTATAATGACCAAAATTTGTAGATCTGAACTTTGGAATTCGCCAAACAGAGGATCCAATCTAGTGGAGATTCGCCAAAGGGAGTTTTTTGTAAAGTTTGAAGGAGATTCAAGAGAAGGATTGTATTTCTGAAAAAGGAGAAAGAGAGAGAAAAAAGGTGAGAAAAAGACAATGCGTATGAAACTTAAAATAATTTAACGTAACTTTTTAATCATTGGTTACACGCACCCGTCCCGGTGCTCCGTAACTTTGGAGCACCGGGTGTCCAGTATTATTTGCGGCTGGAGAGGCCTTACAAAGGTCCCCAAAAAAATGTAAAAGTTAATATTAACAATAAAGGATGTTCTATATGACAAATAATGATCACGATCACACCACAACTAGCCATCCAAGAATCCATAAAAGCAATATCATAGTTTACTTTTAAACAATTCACTGGTGGGGATTCCAACGAATCATAATGTAAATCTTGTAACCACTGGTTCCTCCAATCCATCTTTTGACAGTTAATGGCCCGAAAGATATAAATTTATGTAAAAGTAGTCGATTTAGTAGCTATTTTACTTTACGGAAGCTAATAGTAAAGGTTACTTCAACTGAGCATTTTTAATTGGCATAAGCCATGGTACCATGTAGACTACTATTGCATGCAGAACGATGTCTCAATCCTACGAACAAAAGTATCCTTCGGGTAGAATATATATAGCTTTCGCATTTCATCTTTGAAGATTTCTATCACCTTAACCTTATGGGTTAACAGGTTGATTTTAGATATGACTCACCTTTACTCAGTTTTGAGGACCTGTTATAAGACAAAGGACACACTACTAATAAATGAAAAGATATACATCATGTCAATGACCAAAACACCACTAGTAAAATAAAAAGAATAACAAAAACAAAAGTTTTGAAACTAAGCAAATTAAAAAGTTATTTAGTCAACTACAAAAGAGCGTGCTAGCTCAATTTAGACAGAATGTAAATGCTAAAATGTAAGGAAATAGAACATTATTGAGTATGTGAATTCTCAAATTCAGGAGCAGTGAATTTCTTCACATTTCTCTTGAGGTGGAACGACATGCACCAATATGTAAATACCCCTCAGTTCACATGTCACAAATTCACAAATGCAATGCTCGTTTTCTTCAATCAGGTTCACTTTGCAAAGCTCCTTCCATCCACCGTTATAAAAAGAACGCCCGTCACTCCAAATAGTAAGAGTTGTCTTCCACTCCCTTCCTTGAGAATCAAGCAAGAACGTTTCTTTCGGAAGTTGAAGGTTGTAGGTTTTGATAATTTCAGCTGGGACAAACTGCAAAATTATTTTTGAAATTTTTACATTTAGCACTCACAAGTTTTTCATAACTATAAATATGAATAGTTAGATTAACATCTCTACAAACATATATCTATTTATGCTTTCAATTTCAACAAACTTACCATTATATAATATAAAGTCTACGTTAACTGCTAATTTCTTTTTTCATGATAACAATTAGAAACTATAGTTTAAACCTTTAATGTGAAGGATTATTAGGTACTGAGTCCATCCCCAATTCAAACACTAGTTAAATAAAGAATGTAGAACATTAAAACTCAATATGAAAATACATACCAATTCGTTTTGCCTCCTTTTATTCACCTTTGTAATGTAATGTGGATTCTCAGGTCTGGGAACTTTTCTAGATTTGAAAATATCATCCCAAAGGGATCGACATGTATCCTCGTGCGCCGAAGGTGAGGATCTCCTTTTGTTCCTTTCCCAAGTAAAAATGTGGATTACAAATTAATAAAGAAAACTAGGTAACCACTTTTTCATCAAATTATAAATAGTTGAATGGCGCATATGTCAAAATAAAGGGGAAAAATGCATATTCCCATGTTAGAAAAAGAACAAGAAAAAAAAAAGTATTAAGTTTCCTCGGTGCTAGGGAGTATTCAGAAATTAAATCGTACCTTGGGGGGATTGACTTGACACGGGTAGGTTGATATTTTCCATAATCTCTACTTCTGACATTTCATTTTTGTATTCTTTGTGCGGTTGAACTTCTTTTTCTCCTTCTTCATGGGCTTCAGGTTCATCGTATTTTTCACGGACATGATCACATTTATCCCCAACACCTAATGGTTCTTCCTCTTCAACCTCTTCCTTGATTTTGTAGATAAGCCTTCCAACTCCTCTCTTATCACAGGAATCCGATCCAAATATTTTCACGTCGAAAATACGGATGCCATCATACTTAAACACTAGCATATCACCCATTCCCAAGTAGTTTTGCTTGACAAATCTTGTCCAGCCTCCAAGAAAGTATGTTTTCTCCTCCTCATGACCTAGTACAACATGCCAAAAGTTTCCAAAGCGATCTCTCAAAAGGACTTTGTTTGGTAGATTCCCTTTCATATACTCCGTCCAATTCAATGGAAGCATCTGCCATCATATGCAATTATTACTTGATGAATCTCTAAAGAAAAAAATTTTTCTAAAAAGGAATGAGAGAATATTTGCCTGCCAAAGGGCATGATTAATGTAGCAGACTCAAAGTATAAAAATGGTACAAATACATACAGGACATTATTCATGTTGAAATTTTATAATAAACACATGCATGTGCTCATGATATTAATTTATGTCGGGACAACTCGAAATTGTTTGAATGAGTCGCATGACTGAAATGAAAACATTTTGAACTTATAAAGGGAATAAACAAATGGCTTGTAAAACATAATTATGGCAAGATGCTAGGAAATGGAGCTTCATCAAATCTTAAAGATTTTTCAGTTATAAAGTCATAGTTCAAGCCGTTATTAACAGAGGCCAGGGAAAAAATTGAGTTTGTAAGTCTTCTAAGGGTGTACAAAGCACTGCAAGTCAACTGGAAGAACAGTTCTTGGATATGTTGCTTCAACAGTATGTATATTTGTATGGAAAGCAAGAAAATGCTCGAAGTGTTGATAGTATACAGCCCGAAATAATTGAAACATGGCCAGTACAACCACCATTGGAGGTTTAAAAAACAATAATATTGTTGACATGAAATTTTCCCTTTTGGATTCTCTCAGATGTAAAAAGGTTAATTTCAGAAGGAAAAAAAAAAGCTAATAAATGTTGAATATTATTAGGTTTCAAAAACCTCAGAAAATAACGTTAAGTCAATGTTCTCTGATTTTATAGAATTAGATCATAATCAAACATTTCATCAAAAACGGAAAAACTTTCATTCAGTCTGGCTTTAAATATATGTTTAAAAAATAGGTCCTTATATATAGAGGTCTTCAAAACATATAGGTATTTTACTCCAAAGAAAAAGTACGCATAGGGAACAAGAAACATAAAGCGTAAAATAGAGTAGAAACGTTAGCATTTAGTTTGTAATGATGCAAAAGCTAGTGGGTTATTATTTTTTACCTTTTTGGATGAAGGGACTACTAAAGGTGAGTTAATTTCAAATAAGCTTATGCAACCTAAACTTAAGAGAAAAGCAAAACACCTACCCAAAAACAAAAAAAAAAAGACGTAATGAAACAAAATTAAATCATATACCAATCTATTGGTGCTGGCATGGGTTATGAATGGCTTGAAAAATAGAAGAATCTCGTTTTCAGGATTGCTTCCATCCTTTCCACACTTTGTTCCTTTCCTTGGAGCCATCATTATCGACCAATCTGAAAATGTGACAAAAAGAAAAGAATTGTCACCCACTTAAATCAATCAAAGACCCTTTGGTTAAATTTGAATCAGAAGGAAAAGAAGGAACCCGTAAAGAATCATGATTTACAGCCTTTACCACTCTGGGAGTCAATCCTGTGGGCCTGCCTTAAATTCATCTGTCATTCAAGGGAAATGAAATCAAAAACAAAGAAACAAAGCGATGAGGAAACCATTCGATCGATATCTAGATATGAATGGATGCCAGGAGCGCAGGACGGAAATTTGACAAACCCGATACGGTGTCTCCTTTTTTTTTTTTTTTTTATAAAATGTAAGGAATCAAATAGTTATGTCTTTTTACAATTCTTTTGTCTTTGTGCATTTTGTTTGTTTTGTTTCTACATGGCAAATAATTTACCGTTATTACTAATGAGTGGAGATCATCGTGTGTTCATGATATGTTGTAATGAGGGTTACATAAATGTCGGTAATGTAGCTTAAAAATGTACATAGTACTCTCTTAGACTTTAGAGTCCTTATATATATTCAAAATAATAATTAAAAATTTTGGAAAATAGAAAACCAATTGATATTATGATGAGGGTAGCCCTAACTACCTTAGGGTAGTGCGGCCTAGCCAATGTTCAATGGACCAGATTATATTTTATTCTTTCAATCTTGGTAAATGAAGTACTTAATAATATTTGGATTTGTTACTTAAAATCTTGCTTTTTGAAATAGAAATGAGAAATAGCCTAACTGAGTAACGAATATGAATAAGTTGTGTAACTTACGAAATTAATTAGTGGTGTATGGATCACTAAAACTGGCTAGATTTACACAATTTATAGAGTTCATGATTCTCGACAAGATTCATTCTGTATTCTTAGTTACTCAATTACATGATGATTAATGAGTTTGGACATGGATGACAAAACATTTTAAAAAAATAAAACGCAAAAGATCGACCCAGTATCTGGAAAGAGTAGATGGATAAATAAAGAGTAGACATTAATTAAAAATATAATTGTTGTGAACGGCTTCGATTCATTGATATTATGGCAAGCTTCATTGAAAAATTTGGCCCTCATAAAAGTTGAAGAGTAACATGTAAATGAAGATGGCCTTGTTAAGGATATTTATGCATGGACATTTGTATTTTGGGGATTTGCAATGCCCGAAAAGTGATCTCAATTAGAACTTTTTAACAAGGTTTTTAGTTTTTGTTGGTAAAATTTTTTTTCTTAACACGATTACAAAAATCAAAAAATAGGCTATTTAATCCATTAAAAACCCTTGAAAAGTGAAAACAGAGGAAAAAGAACAAACCTGAAAGAATTGATCGAGCTTTGAAGCCTTTACCACTCTTGATGCAAGCCTTGACAGCAGCCTTCAAAAAACCTATCATTCAAAATGAAGAAAGATCAGAGAACAAAGCTACACAAAGTTTTGAATTAAGAAAACAATTTGCATTGGTTCAAATGAAGCGAGGGCAAAAAATCATTAAACCCTATACCACGTCTTTAGATCTGATGAAAGAGGAGGAAGAACAAAAATATACGTTTTTGGCGGAGAGGGACCGAGTTTTGGTGTGAAGAATTTGCTGCTGACTTGTGTTTTAACGTTGCTTTTGACGTTGTAAATTGAGATGGTACTTGATTTGTGGATGGCAGCTATTGTTCACTGGCGATGAAGATTATATAGTGTATAATGTTATCGAAGCAATCCACATAAAAGAATGTGATACAGTAATTCCTTTGCCCTTGGCCTTCTTCTATGCATATATATCAAATGATAATGATAAGAAATATAAGAATAGACAAATATAATAGAGAAATGAGGATGCAATTAAAGGACAATTTCAGATTCAATGTATTTATATGTATTGGTAAATAAGTTAAATGTTAAGATTTTAATACGCATTTTAAACTCCTGATATATATATATATATATATATATATATATTTATGGGAAATTGACCCAACTGAGAAATGAATTGAATATTAATAAATTGGAGGGGGGGGGGGAGATTACCAGAATATACAGTGGTAGGTGGGAATTGTAATTGCGATAAAGGGGCCAGATTTATAATTCATAAAGTTATAATACCCTCAATAGATTCATTGTGTATGCCTTAGTTGACCACTCAATGCTGATTACTAATGTATTTGGACACGTTTATGAAAGATGATTAATTTGGAGGGAAATAAACGGAGGGGGAAGGAGAAAGAAATGGCAATAGAGAAAACATAAGCGAAGGATGAATTGATAAGTTATAGGTGTTTTCATGGATTATACACCCTATCCGTGTGTTCTATGGTCCCTATCATATATGTACCCGATTATATATGTATAGTTTGTAAAATAGAAACCGCAGTAAATATAAAATAAGAAGTGGAACATGTAAGAGTTCAGATGATAAGGAGCACGCTTTATCATTTGTATCAAAGTTTTAACATATATTTATTTCTTGAAATCCATTTGAAATTTTCTGTCGTCGACAAATTTCTTCTACTCTTGAGTACAATATCGGTGTTTTTTTTTTTCTTTTTTTTTTAAAAAAAAGGAACACTATGCAGTATGACGAAATTTTGGGCCGCGTTATTTTTTTTTCACCCCAGGTCATGTAGGAACATATTGATTGTAACCCCATAATTCAACTTTTTTTGGAGATTGATCACGGGAGTAATTATGTATTGGAGTTAAGTTGGTGATTTTTATTTTTTCACATAAGCATATTTCAAAACAAAAGGGCAGACCACACTACCGTCTGTTTCTTTATTTGCTGGCTCATTCCGTTTTCTCGTTTTTTTTTTATTTTTTTTACTTTTCCGTGTGTGTGTTTTTTTTTCCCTTTACTGTCATCCTGAATGTACTAAACTCTCGTTTGTTTGTATATTCATCCATAAAACTGCATTGCTTTTTTTTTTGTTTTCATTTTTTCCCCTTTGCTTTACTAAAGGGGCTCTCCTTTCTTTAGATAGAGTATTCAAGACAAAAGAAGAGTGACGTAGGAGGGGGGGGGGGGCAGGTGACTGAAAAACTTGATTAAGAGATGATTTCGATTTTGAGTATATAACTTTTCTGAGTTGTAACTGTAAATATGAAGGTATTGTTATGAGGTAAAATATTGCCTATGACATTGTTAAGTGTTTTTGGTGCATGGTTGCAATTGTTTAGTTGATTGGTTCAAGTCATTAGTTGGGAATGGCTAAAATCATGGAGACAAAGGGATTAGATTCATGTTAGGAGTTAGTTTTCATTTTACTAAAGTAGTTTTATTAGGAGGATGAGTAGTTATTTTAGTAATTTAAAAATATAATTAATTGGCTTGTAATCTAATGGCCTAGATGATTGGGGTTGTCAATCATTGCTTACAAATACTTGTAAACTTGTATTTATAAGGGAGAAGAGAAAGGTGAGAAGGCAAGATGTAAGAATGCCTTGAGTTTTGAGAGTTTGAAGAGAACACCCAAAAATAGACCTGTGTGGGGAAATAGCCAAGCCCGAAAAATTGTTGGTTGGGGAATAAAAGCCTAGAGTTAGGTTTCTGATCTCATTTGACACGTGAATCTCTTGTAAGTTTTGTGTTGAGTAATAAAATTAGATGTGATTGCGACTTCGGTCCAAGATATAAATGTTTGTGTCCCTTGAATTGATTACTTGGTATGTTGCTAAGTGAATCTCTTCCGCTTCGTGATTGCTTAGCGGGCTGGTGGTTTTGGTTGGCCAAAAACCACGCCAATATATCGCCAAATTCGTAGGAAAAGATTTGGAGTCTAACATCTTGGTATCAGAGCCCCGGTTGCGAGAGATGGGGCTGGTATCAAGGTGATTCGTGCATCACGTGTTGCTATTCTTATAAGATCCTAGAGTTAGGTTTCTGGTCTCATTTGAGATGTGAATCTCTTATAAGTTTTGTATTGAGTAATAAAATTAGAAGTAATTGGAACTTCGGTCCAAAATATAAATGTTTATTCCTTGAAATGATTACTTGGTTTGTTGCTAAGCGAATCTCTTCCGCTGGGTGATTGCTTAGTGGGCTGGTGGTTTAGATTGGGCAAAATCTAAAATCCACGCCGGTAGATCGCCAAATTCATAGGAAGAGAGTTGGGGTCTAACAGATATACTAATGATCATTTGGAAATTTTTTTTCTAAAACCTGGTGTTATATAGAAATGTATGAGAGAAAAACGCCGAGTGTTTTTCAATCCAAACTATGTTCAATTAGACGCTTTTCTACGTTATCATTATGGATGTAAAATAACTTGCTCCTTGCAATTCACTATGAGAGATTAAACAAAGCAAACTAGAGATAAAAGAAAAATATCGTACATTGATTATTATTAGTATTTGGACATTTCTAAACGTAATTTGATTTAATTTCGTACAATTTATGAAATATACTTAAATACCTTTCAATCTTCCCATTTTCTTCTTTCCTTTACTGTTCCCTTTTCCTTGTTAGTGCAACTTGATTTCATTTCATGTAACTAGTAAAAATTACTAAAAAAAAAAAAGGTTTCCCTAAAAGGCCAACTTTATAATCATTGAGAACCAAAAGATTTCTGATTGATGAGATGAAACCTAATATTGCTTAGGGAAAAGGGTGAAAACTCCCACGAGTTATGTTCCATAAACGAATTCCACTCCACTTTTCTCATAAGGACAATTAGATCCCTTGACTACTAGTCAACAGCACAATTGACCCCTCCGAGAGCAAAAAGGAAAAAATGTATGTGCGAAGACAAAAATACCCTTTTCACTTAAAAGTAAATTTTTTTAATCCACATTTTATCTTTTTTTTTCAATGGCTTATTTTGTTTAATAAATTGTTGAAAATTTTTTTCAGAATAACAATATTCACCACTTTTTGTCAAAAATAAATTTAAAAAAAAAAATTTAGTAAATGAATAATTTATGTACGGTTGATTTTTTTTTAAAAGGATATAATTTGTCTAGAAGAAATAGCCTAATTTCAATACCATTCGTGTTTTGAATTTTTTTGTTATTATTAACATCAAAATAGAATATAGTTGAAAGTCTATCATTTTAAGAAAAGAAAATTTCAAGCATAGATTAACTGGTTTTTACTCAAATTATTTTTTTAAGTAGTTTTTAAGAAAATTTGGTAAATATCTTGACTGTAAATAAATCTTTTGATAATTTGTTAAACAAAATAGGTTATTGAGAAAAGGTAAAATTTGTTCACAAAAACATTATTTTTAGGTAAAAAGTATTTTTGCCTTTATACACATATTTTTTTTATTTTTGACCTCCGGAGGGGTCAATTATGCCGTTGACTAACGGTCAAGCAGGGAAATTGTTCTTATAGGAGAAGTCGGATTGGTAATAGTTTTACTGGTAGGACTCGGGGGGGAGGGGAGGGATGTTCCTTTTCCGTATTGCTAATCCAACAAGTTACGACAATCAAATAACGGGTGCCGATCATCTTCTCTTAAAACCCGTTGCCCACAAAATTAGTTGTTAAGACGCGGATTCCCCAATTTTGCCTATTTCCCATGTTTTTCAATTTGATTCTTCGTCACTATAATGTATTAGCAATCGGTGAATTTTTGGACTGTATATTGAAGAATTCAAGAGAATTATTTTAAAAAAACTGAGAGAGAATAATGTAAAAGAGTGAAACGTTGGAGAGTTTAGAATTAGGAATAGTTTAGTCTTTTTTTATGAGCTCCAAAAATTAAAATCAAGCTGGTTTAGCAACCTACCATTTTTTTTTTTTTTTGAGAATTTTTGACCAATTCCCTTATCGGAATGTATTTTCTTTTCTCAACGATTTATTTTTAATTCACTATCTTCCATTCTTAACATACGCAATGGAATGGAGAGAGTATCTTTCATACCTTTGTACTATCCAATACATTGATACACACACACATATATACACACACACACACACATATATATATATAGATATATATATATATATATATAGGCCTCCACTACTAGAACTTACCCTATTTACTAACACATAATATATATATAGATATATATATATATATATATAGGCCTCCACTACTAGAACTTACCATATTTACTAACACATAGTATTGGGTAAATCATTGTTCCTAAACTAGTTTATTCATTTCTATTTTCACATTTGCTGCAGTTTGGAACCTGAAAAAAGTTAAATTAATTTCAAGAGTCATATTTTTTTGAATATTTCATCCAACAACTAAAGATCTTAAGGATTCGTTCATTATGACTATTTGTGCCGATCACATCGACAGTGATAGTAAATCTATACTGCTTTCGATCCGAAATAATTTTTCAATTTGCCGACTAAAAATAAAAAATTAAACTCAACAACTATTTTAGTACAAAATTATTTTGTTTCGTTTTTTTTGGAACAATTACAATGTTTCATGTTTAAATTCTGTATGT